AGCGTTTTAGCATAGGGCAACTAAAAATTTCAGAAGAAAAACACAAATATAGTCAAAGTTAGGGTATGGAATGAAATATATAGTGAAAACTAAACTTTAATATACAGGACTCACTCATTAAATGAACGAGAAAAAAGACTAGAAACCCTGAATATAATACACAACTTTAACCATGAAAACGTGACTCATAACTTTGACCCTATTAATGTGAACTTTATACTTTATGAACATTTTGACAATATATACTGAATCAAATGCAGTGTATCTCACAATTGATTGATCATTGGGTGGTGATCAATGTCATGTGTGTCAAGTCCTTATTTAGTGCAGATCGAATGCTATCGATCATGTTGCAATGTGGCCACCAGTCTAGGTGACTCGACACTGCGTGCACTATATATTGAGATTATATGGTGGTTGGAGGTAGTCGACAGGACAGGTAACGTCTCTGACTGTGAAACTGGGTGACACGGGATCGAATCCGCCAGGGTGCACTAGTTCCCTCAAGATTACAGGTACACCTTGCTGACGAGTGCCAAGTAGCACGAAACCCAGGTCCAGGGTTTCCTGTCGACTACCTCCAACCACCATCTAATATCAGTGTATCTCAACTCATACCTTATTATAAAGTGATATGCTAATATTGGATAGTATGATTAAAAAAACACTTCAGTAATTAGAATTAGTTATATACTACATCAAAGAATATTTTATAGGTGTAGTGATAATTTTAAGAATTTAAAGAAAAGAATTTTCACTTTAATTTCATTAAATTACGGTAGGGATCTAAAGAAAATACATAAACATACCTCTGTTTCAACTACATTTTACAAACTTAGTTTGATTTCATTTTGATTGTAGACATTAATGTCAATTGAGAAATAATTTTTTAAAAAAAATGTTTTGAGGTTTAGCTGACAGTGATTAGGCACAACTTTTAATAAGAATGATGAAGGCTATTTTCATATCAAACCAACAGAACAGATTGAATCAATAGATGCTTAGGGTATTATCATTATTATTATATTATTCTTTTTTAAGCAACTTTCACCCAATAAATCTTGTTTGTCGCCATTCATTTAAAGTATGCATATCTTTTACTCAGAAGATCTATAATTGTCAAGTCTTAATTATGCTCATAGTCTCGATGAAATCGGATAAACATGTGAAAATTTGAATGCAATAAGTGGATGATTATTATCACCAGACAATTATTATTTATCAACTGATTAAATTAACATACTTTATATTTTGATGGAGTTTTGTTCTCTGAGCTGGATGGTTTGGTCGTGGAGCTTTCATCGTTCTTCTGAACGACATCATCAGCACATACTTCGGATAGAAATCTATCTGAAGTATCTGAAGTATGTGCTTATGATGTCGTTCAGAAGAACGATGAAAGCTCCACGACCAAACCATCCAGCTCAGAGAACAAAACTCCATCAAAAACTCTTCTAGTAATCCTGGCATTAACAAAGTGGCAGCAAATTTGTTAGGCAAAAGTCTAAACGACCATGAAATGTTTTTGTTTTCAAATGGTCTTAATTTTAATAATAATGAACTACTTTTGTCTTCTTTCAAAATTATATCTCTAGCTGAACCTGGTTTGAAGTACCTTTCAATGAAGAATCGAATAATGTAAGGAACAAAATTTCAGCTACATTATTACATTACATTTCTAACTTAATTAAAAATGAAGTATACTACTTAAGACAGTTTCATACAGATGAAACAATTGCCATTGCATTAGGACAAAAGAAATATCATAATTATTGTTAATGAAACATAATATGATAAAAAAAGCCGAAGAACATCTCAAAAATGACCAGAACTAGGAAATTACAGTATCCGAACAACATGCTACATTCAACAAACTAAAGCCGCGAACGATCAAGCTTTTACAATCGATAGGAATGAAACTGGGACCTTTATTATGGCTCAATTTATGACCTAAAGTAGCAATCCTTATTGCTGGCGTCTGCTGGGATCACCGGGTAAGTAATAGTGAGGTTAGACGCAGGGTATTAGGGAATGATGGTAAATCAGTTGATGAGGTTATGAATCTTCATCGACTGAGATGGTTGGGCCACGTGTTACGTATGCCTGAACACCGATTACCACGACGTGCAATGCTATCCGGTATTGGAAATGGTTGGAAGAAAGTTAGGGGCGGCCAAACCAAAACGTGGCATCAGTGCTTGAAGTCACTAACTTCTAGTCTGAGCCATGTCGGTAGATGCAGACTACTTGGTTGGGGTCCGCGTGACTATCGTAACCAATGGTTGGAGACTCTTGGTGACATGACTCAGAATCGATCACAATGGCGTCGGTGTATACACTCCCTGTCTTCCCTTAAACTAAGAGATTAAAATCGCTTCATATCTTTCTTTCTACGAACCAATTCTTTCTTCTTGTACTATATCTCTATATGCAATCCTTCTCTTACATATTACTACCTTTGACCTAACCACTGCTATGAATCCGGTGTTCATCTTGTTGTGCTGATGCGGTATGGCAACCTGGACCGATGCACATATGTGCCTGGTCCTACGTTGTAGCTGACTGACTGACTGAGATTCTATGGACTAGTAATGACCCACAAAAATAAGATAGGATTAAGGTCAGAGGCAGGCTCTACAAACCTACCAACATATAATGTCATAAAATATCCAGCTAGGATCCTCAGACTATATGACAGAACAGTAAAAGCGTAGGACTCAATTCAGTGATAGGATCAAAGCAAATCATATTAGAGTACCCCAAGGTTATTAGGAGCTCGAAATTATGTTTATATTGCACCTTATTCGTTCTACGGCAAAATCTATATCAGTAGGAAGAAGTAATAGCTGCAGACATTCAGTTTCACCGATTGTAGAGAATTTATTCTTAGATTCTTTAGAAACCAGTATAACCAACAATCTAATAAAAATCTGGTTACGGTATGTAGATAAAATGTTTGCTGAGACAAAATGGTTTAGAACTATTTGAACAAGTAAACAATATATCAGAGCACATTAATTTTGTCAAAGAGATCGATTTTTTAATCATAAACTAACATTTTTCAATTGTTTGATCGAACGAAGACAAAACAACAATATCAAAGTTAGTTTTTTTCCCGAAAATGAACAAATTCTGAGTGATATCTGAATTTCAAGTTGGGACATGGTCTCTCAGCAAATGTTACTGTTATTATCAGAGACAGATGGTGGCTAGCAGTGGATTCCAGGACGCGCATTTCGTCGTATTTGGGACTCGTCAGCCAGATGTACATGTACCCAAGTTTATGTCCATTCCGGAACTGGAACCCCACACCGCTCGCTACAAACGTCACCATATTATCAACTTAACTACTGAGTCTAGGTAACCAACGGCTTCTGAAATGGGGTGAAGTTCTATTCATTTGTACTGGTTTTTGAATTTCCCGATTGATGATTAGAAATGCAGTTGGTCAGTCTCTTCTTTGACATTTGCTGCTAAGTTACAAGCATAATAAAAGCGAAGATGGATGCCAGCTAACAAAAGAATTCAGGTAACTGTTGTTAGAAACTTTATAACCAGGAGTAGTTATCTAGTTATGGGCATAAGAAACAAACAAATATAATTATATTCAATCTTATCTTCATCTAGAATAACTAATCGCCAAGTTTTTGAAAAAAAAACTATGAAAAATGGAAAATAGAAGCAATATTCATGAAAATTGGAAAAGAACTAATCGCTCCTTACCATAAAAAACATAAAACCATAAGGTTTCTAGACAAACACGGTAGAAAATTTTATTTTCGTGCTATTGATACCATTAAGTCGGTATTAATGAGACTTAAAAATATGACCTCGAAGTAAGAAAAATACCACTTGTGATACGATTTCAACGACAAAGAACGTTTAATTATTTATTCAACTATTATGGTTGTATTCAGCGCCAGGTAATTCCAATTAACATCACAATACCAATATCCGACTATTCTCAATCAACAGATACATCGACAGTTTTAATTTACTAATATTTTGCAGCACTTATTATAGTTGCACGTCTATCTGACGACTTACCATAACCTTTGGATAGATGATTTGTTCTAATCTTCACTCAGTTACCTATATATTTGAGCCTGTTAGTTATCGACATGCAGTCTTGGATATGCTTCATACATGTGTATGATAATGTGTCCACCCATTTCTTGCAGTTCTTACATGACCGAGTGACTTTGTTATCATCTGAATCAGTGGATTATCGAACTCAGATGCTTTATACAATCGCCGCGTCTCTTGTTTGTTTATCTATCGTTTAACATTAGCGATTTCAAAATATATGTACCTTAAATATAATTCATATTCGACTTTCAACATACAGTTGTTTTAAACGCGTCAAGTCGACAGAACATATCTATAGTTAAGTGGGATATGTATTTCATAAGCATCGATCTCGGTCATTTACAGTGGAATCAGACAATCGGTACTAAAATGTACCCCTAGTCTGATAATCTAAAAAAGACCAATATGTTACTAGTTGTAGCCAAGAACTGTATTTGTTCACTGAATTTGTAGCAACCATGACACTCATACATCGTATTTTGAACACATTTCATATCAGATGAGTCACATCCTTACTATATACAAAATCAGCGTTAGAATGTGAATGGACAAGATCCTAGTGTTGACTTCATATTTATTCTTGATAATTCCAATTCTGATTATTTTCTTAGAGCTCGAGCCAAGCCGTCGTTCAAGAAGGTGAAATTATTTAAATGTTAATCAAAGAGATTATTTCATGTTTAACCTGTACATAGGATACCTCCTACATACTCAGTGTACAATTTCAGTCAAACGGTTTATTTACATTTTTACAGATATTCACTCGTTTTTCCTAATGGTTTTACATAAAAGGTGACTTATTCAACAGAGATTGGTACGATAACAACATAGATGTTCAATACCTTAACTTGACAGTTTAAAATAGTCTTAGAATAGCATCCAGTTTTCATACTTTTGATATTTTTCTTATGCGTAGAAATAACATAAAGTATAGGAATTCTCATAAAAAGCTAATTTGTAAGCTACAATATAATATTCAATATAGAAGTCCTAAGTTCGATCTTAGTGGATAAGTGATCTTTTATTTTCTTGATTCAAACTCCTCTCTCATAGACACTCACATACATGTGGATTATTATTCTAGATAAATTTTTCATACTATGAAAACAAACCCAGTAAATGGAAAGCTTTATTTTGTTCAATAAAAGCGATTACATAACCATGAAAAATTATATAAAACAGGGAAATGATAAACTTTTGTCAACAGATTATTATACTAATGATAAAGAAATATCAAACAGAATTAGATTTAAAGAGAAGAAAACAAAAGATTTGTAAGAAACGAAAATATCGATGAAAAGGTTACATTTATGAAACAGTAAAACAGAAAAAGTGGAGTGGTACACATTCATAAAGAAAAAAAAGTCTTCGCACTTTAAGATATATAACTAAAGGTTATAAATCTAATAGATATACATTTAGGTATACAATCGGTTACAACTTACTACTAATACTACCAGCAATAATAATAATAATAAAGAAGCAAATCTTGTTAAAACTATTTCATGATTCAATTATCATTGTTAGCTATAATGAGAAGGGTAGAATATAGATATAGGTATATATCTGCTCATTTTCTTTTAACTTTAGAAATTAGATTGGAGTTTGGGTATTTTTAGCCAAAACCTCTTCTTGGAAATGTTTTTTACAATACAGAATTCGATCACTTTGATTATAATTGTTTAAACTGAAAATTAAGAGAGAAAAAGAATGATAGAAAAGTAACGGCTTGAACTGAATGAATTAGAAATTCATAAAAGATTTCTAGAAAAAGAATTCATGTACCAATTTTATTTTGATAATATATATGGTTTTCTTGAAGTTTTATTTTAATGTAATTAACGAATGTGACGAAGAGCAAAATCTGGGACTACGTTTATCCGATGATTAGCAGAAACTGATCGAAAAAAAGGTATTTATATACTATGCACAGCGGAAAAAAGGACCTATTTAATTGTCATTAAATAACTTCAGTTAGTGGTGTTATTGAAAACCAGAGAGTACTGGATATATTTCGTCCTAGTATATGACTCCTTAGCAGTATTTACTCACGACCCCTACATCAATCTAATTATTAGTCTATATGACCTGTTATAATATGAGGAGCAAATATGTGCAAAGAAAAGATCTGCCAAATGAATATGAACTAAAGATATACTTGGAAATGAGCTAAATACAAACCGACGAACATTCCTGGAGAATGACTTCCCGCCGAGGTAGGTTCATTATTAGTAATCTAAAACCCAGACGTCAATATAAAGATATTTCCACAGTTCCGATAAGTTTTATTCTTGACCACTGAATTCAAGAGAAGTAATGAGTAACAGATTACTTAGATCCATGAGAAAGATGCTTTATTCAACAAAGCCATGAATTATTTTCTCCAGCAAGAAACTCACTCAAGAAAATGTCAAGGATAAACAGCCGTGTTGTGCCACCTCGATGTGCATTTACCAGTTTACCTGCTCTCATGGAGCAGATTATTTCGGCCGTACAAAGCATGCACTTGGTAAACGAATATATCTAAACACTACCCTGATCGACTATCTAAAAATGGACTGCAAATCGATTAACAACTCAGTCCTTGAACATAAGATTTAATCATGTTACAGCCAATCATGTGAATCTCCATTCAAAATCTCCCACAAAGGTAAAAAGAACTGGCTCAAAATACTTTGGACGAGGAATCTGTGCACAGTCGAAGCTATAGCAATACATTAATTCAAATTTATATCAAATATTAGGAACAAAGTTCAGATAGAGACGACTGCGTACACGGATAACTAGAGTGTAGATTGATCTCTTTCTAGATCAGGATACAACCATCACATTGTACATAAGAACTCTAAGGTAATGTGGACACGCTTAATAAACTATTTGTGTCTGTACAAGAGTCCCAGAGGTCGCGTTTTATGTAGTTATATTGATGAATACGTATATTGTGGTTTTCTCAAATCATAGACACAAAGATTAATAGAAAACCTCAGTAGATTCATTAACCATGCAAAATATTTATATCCTTACAAATATTGTTCTCTTAGATAAACTATTCACCTACAATAACTTTCCTGATTACAACCACCTGACGAGTCCTATCTAGGACAAAAGATACGTCCTGGAATACACTGTTAGCCATCATCTATCTCTTACTATGATGTTTTCTAATTGGTTAACAGTGGGCTAGGAAATGTCGATCATTTTAAGAATCGCTCAAGCCTGTCCCAATCCTTTATAATCTTAGCGTCTCTGAAACGAAGGATTGTTATTTGCCATATTCAATGACATAACACCTCTAACTAAAAAAATTAAAAGTAAGATTATTTGGTATTAAAAACCAACTTTAGAATTCATTCTTAACCATTTTTGAATGGTTATAATTTGATGGAAATTATGGTTACAATTGGACAGGTAAAAAATCGAAAATTTCTGACTATTTTTCCAATTTAATCAAGTATATCTTTACTGTCTAAATGTTGTCATTAGAAAAAAGTGGACATAAAACAGTTTATAATTTTCTAATCTATCGATTATTGTTAGTTAGGTGCTGTGTAATGGATCAACTTGAATCTCATTGGGTGATATATTGTCATGCAGGATGATTATAATCCTAATGATATTTTGTTGAATTAACATACATTTATATGATGTGTAGGGATTTGTTTTGTCAATTGTATAGCTTTCTAGTATCCTATTATAAATTGATGTGGTATCAAATAGATCTGGACCATCATTTACATGACGCGTTCTTGTTTGTCTAGTTTGTCATGTGTAAATTATGAGAAGATGGTTATAACAAACTATAAAGAAAAAATTGTTGCTGATGCTAGTAAGGTGGGATTTTTAGAAGCCACATAGTTTAAAAGAAGGATGAGAAGAAATGTAACAACTTTCTGAAACTGAGATTTATAAGTGATATCTTGTTGGGTAGATCATCTTTAGTGAAGCACTATGTCTAAACCACCTAAGAAATCCGATTTAATGTCGATAAAATTTCACTGAGCTGAATTCTAGTTAAATTCCGAAACGAAATCAGTGTGTAATACTTAAATGTTAAGAAACGAAATAAAACAAAAAAAATTCACTCAAACACACGTCAACAGATCCTCCAACGATCTAACAGTGAACAATAATTCCGATATTTAAAACACTTATCGTTCACTAAGGAAAATGGAAAAGTAGTTTCATAGTAATCTGGAACTTTTTGATCAGCCATCTGTTTCGAGAATTAAGATCAACAATATCTTTGTTTTTCGTGAAAGCTATCTTACGATTATATATCACTTAGCTGTAATTCAATAGTTGGAATGTTCAACTTCGTTTAATTCATGGGATATCGTGAATCACATTTTATTGTCCTCTTAAATACATCTATCCCAAAAAAACAGTTGCTCTAAAACGTATTTCTTCGTTATAACACTGGATAGATGCTCATTAAACTTGAATGTTCTAGAACGTGACAAAATACATACATGATGCCCCTTGATCTTTACACGCGGCGGATTATTTTCTGATTTATCAAAACTATAAAATTCAATAAAGAGATTTCAAAAATTGTCGAAATATCTTGGGCTTTATTATACAGTTCGTGAATGTAGCTTACAAAAGGTAATTCTGGTATATAAAAACAATAAATCTGCTGCATAGTTCAATGTTTATCACAGTATAGTTAATATTAAAATGAATATAATTGTTTTTGAACAATTACTTGTTATTACCAATGATGTAAATATTTCTTTGTGTAACACCAAAAGCCTGGAGTGAACACACTTGTTTATAAACATCTGAAGAGGTTACCCAATAACAACACTAATTAATCAGTTTAGAAATCCGTCAATCAAGCTAACTTGAAAAATAGTATTAGCACGGTCTGATAAAAATTATATGAAAAATAATACAACTTCAAATATGATGCAATTAGGGAGATATAGTAGGAGATATAGTATACTAGAGCAATCAGTCACGAACACAGGAGGCGAATCAATCACTGACAACTGCGAACAGCAAAACGGGGAGTAAAATAATTTGAAGAAATCTTACGTAGACCAGTACCAATGAACACACCGGACATCGAAACAGCATACAGAGACCTCTCTGCAGATAATACCCCACAAAAAATAGAAGTTAGCAAGGCTATTAGACGAATTAGGAATATAAAACTAGCAGGATCAAACAGCATACTAGCTGAAACACTAAAGTTATATATTAAACCAACTATAAAGATACTCCGCGTTCTTTTCAGAGAGATTTATGAGGGAAAACAAGTACCAACAGATTGGTAAGGTGAACGCCTCATAGGTATACAAAAAAAGAGGTGTGAGAACTACGGGGACATCACACTAATATCAGTACAAAAAGTTTTAAAAAGATTGTCAAACCCAATGAAGGACTAAGTAGATGCCCACCCCCGAGGTCCACCAGCCGGCTTTCGTAAGGATCGATTATGCACTAAACGAATAGTGACACTATAGACCATTGTTAAACAATCAACTGAATGAAACTCATCACCATATATCAACTTTCTTAATGAGAAAGCATTCGACAGTTTGGAACGGAAAGCCTCGTGGAATCTTCCTCGACACTATAGGATACTTGAGATGATGGTTAACATAATACAAATTTCCTACAAACGATTGGACTTCAAAGTTGTATATATAAGCAAGCTCATAGATGGATTCTAAGTGAGGACTGGTGTCAGACAAGGCTGTCTACTGTCATCTTTACCTTTTCTTTCAATTGTTAACTCGATTATGGAGACCTCCACATATCAGAAGAAGCACAGAATACAGAGAACACTTGGGATAAAGCTTTTCAGATCATAGAGTTTCTAACGCTATACACAGTAACAAATTCAGATGAAGACTGTCGGTACGTAGGTAAATATATCGTAAGCTTTCATTTATCTTATTAACTATTGATAAATAATTTACTATTCGTAAATTACAGTGTATTACCGTCACTCAGTTTGTACTACGGATGACCTAGTTATGTACAGATTGTAATTGATGCAAAATGGTCATATATATAATAGATAGAATTGTTTGTCAGTCACAGTATGTATAAGCTAAATCGGGCTAACTTTCTTCGTGTTCTGATTGAGCAGGTTGGGGACTGAAAGATCAGCGTGAGACAATCAACGTTGTAGATAATTGTATCATTAGTATAAAACGGGATCATCACTAGTATGCATACAAAAGGAACATTTTAACGAATTAGAAAATCAGAAGACTCACTAACTCTACCAAAAATTTCAATAGTGTGTATATCGACAACTTCTAAAGTGAAGTTGAAATAGAAATGGTTCATATTCTTAATTTCTAGTTTTCTCATTGTTATTAATTACTATCTCAAGCAGAGATTGAATTCATTTAATCATTCTTATTTTGTGAAACAAATTAGAAAACTAATAATATTCAAACTAGTATGTTTTTCAAATGTAAACTAAATAGAAAATATTCATCGAGAGTACTGCACTGGAAAAAAAATGAAAATCTATTCGAATCTCTGGAGTAAAATAAAGAAGACGTTCATAGCATGTAAATAATTAGTAATCAACCAATATGAGATGCCTCGATAAAATGAATCAGATATCGTTTAGTGTAAATTATTAGTTTATATTATCAAGTCATGGGTAAAAATGTCATCAGAATTATGTAAATTAAACTTTATTGTGTAAAAGATCCGTGCAAT